ACCTACATGTCTGGGGAATCTCGAAAGTTTTTTGAAGACATAAAAAGTCCGCCAAACTGCACTTGGCCAGCGTGGTGGACTATAGCCTGATCGCCTTCGTATTGAAGAGAGGCCCGTGCCCAACAATGGGATGTTAAAAAGGGGCTGTTTACAAATATTTTGCAAAATGAAAATGGTTGGCCCTGTATTTTAAATTCTCATGTAGAGTCATAAATATAAGCATAGATATAATATTATATTTTCTAGATTAGGCAAGTTAGTTTAATTTTCTTGAAAATCCATTTTGAGTGATTTGAAACAAAAAAAAAGCTCCTGTAGACCGCATATTATTTAAAAAACTTCTTTACTTCTTTACGTAAAAATAAATATTTTATTGAAGGACACAACATATAAAAATGTTTAAAATCTCATACAAATGTGACTTAAAGTCATGTCATAAGCAATATATGTATGTAAGTTTATATAAAAAAATGTAATTTAGTCGCCTCGGTCTCGAGGGACATTTTTGACTTAATTAGGACAAGGTGAAACAACGATGGACAGATTTAATAAAAAAAATCGTTTAATAAATAACTGCTTACACAAGTAATAAATCTCTTCTCGTTGTAGTTAATATAGTGAATATTTTACTCTTCTTTATTTGTTTACAAGCGGCTCACCCTCGCTTAACTCGGAGTTATCTATAGATACCAGTGGCGAAGCGTCCATATAGGACGTCTTACCTTAAAATTATTTTGCTATAGTTTAACATACATTTATATATATATATATATTCAGGCATGTAGCCTAATCTAGGCTACATGCCTGAGTTACTCCAAAGTCATAGTCTATCTGAATACTGAGTGTCATCCAAATCCGTCCAGCTGTTTCTGCATGCAGGAGTAACGAACATACATACATAGAAACTGTAGTAAAAAAATATATTTTTTTACATACTTTGTTGTATAATATGAGCAGAAAATTAAAATTTTTGATAGGTAATCTTGTAATGGCAGTTTAAGTTTATTAACAAATGTCATATAGCACTTGAGAGTCAGCCAGACGCGTCGCGGCGAACTATGAATAAATAGGTAACCATGCTCTTAAATTTATAATTTATCTGTAAGGTTGGCGTCAAGTAATTGAACTTACGAGCTTTTGAACTTTGCCGTTTCGATGTCGTAGATGTCATTATTCTTGCGTAATTTGGATGTGGCACCTTTGCTTTTTTAATAATATTTTACATTTTCATTAAAATGTATACTTAATATTCGTGAAAATCAACAGCTAAATTGTCCTTTTAAAACAGTGAAAGAAGCTGAGTAATTTATATACTCGTAATACTTTCTTAGATTTACGCGTATATTTGATATTTTAATTAAAAGTAACTATATTTTCGGATTTTTTCACAAAATTTTCTTTATAGCAATCATAATCGCGATCAAAATAAGTCCGCGAAAAAATGCGAAAGGATAAGTTTATTTAAGCAGTATTTATTTACAAAACCTACAAGTGTGTACACGTTTGTTTACTATAAATTATATTTACCATAGAAATGGGATCTGTGCAGCAACTTTATGACTCCGTCTCTATTACAAAAATATATTTGTTTTGTATAAGTATACATAATTAAATATTCTTAGATTTCTCAAAATTTTCCTTCGCCGTATATCAATTGATTCAAGTAATGGGTATTAAGTAATGAAATCTTACTTACAGAAATTATTTATATTGATAAAGAGTTAGTAGTAATAAAGAGATCGTTCAGTGCATTGTACAATTAACTGTAGCTCTTAGATAGCCTCAATATCTAAATATGTTAACATTTAATGGCACATAAAATTTCACAATTTGCCTAGAATTTTTCTTTAAAATTGTTAAATTGAAATACTTTCTTAGTCTAAGAAAAAGACTTTTTGGGGTTTTAGAGGTTTTATTTAACTTTTTCTCTTCCCGACGTTACAAATGCTTAAGTAATTATAACTATCAAGATGTCAAAACGTCAGTTTCTCCCGTGACTATACTTGCTGTTCGTGTGAAGCATTCGAAACGTGTGTAACATAAAAGTAAAATAAATTCGCGACAGGATCTGAAATAATAGTTTTTAAATTACAAGTTTTCATGTTAATCTAAAAAATTCTTGTTTAGAATATTGTAAGAAAGGTTATCAACCCCTATCGGAATATAGAGTTCCTTGATATATTTGTAGAAGCACTTATCACGATCTCTACATCCACTTTGTATCTCACGTTCTCTTTTAGAATTGAAGTAAGAGCTAATATAATATGCAATTAAGTATATGTTTTATATGACGCTTAGTATAGAATAGATAGACTATATATACATATATGTACAAATGACGAGTTTTATATCCCTGATGAAATCCGAGAAATTGTTGATTCCTCATACAAACTTTCACCCCTTCAAGGGATGATTTCCGGGATAAAAACTATCCTATGTCCTTCTCAGGGTCTTAAACTATCTCCACACCAAATTTCATCAAAATCAGTTCAGCGGATTAAACGAGAAAACGTAACAGTAACACAGAGTTACTTTCGCATTTATAATATTAGTATGGATGAAAATATATAAAACTTACAAATTCCACATAATGCTTGGCGCCAAGTGGACTGCGTAAGCTCTTTATAGAAAACGTATTGTGTTCTATTTAATAAAATATACTATTTGTAAAGCTAGATAAACATTTTAGTGTTTACTCTAAGTCTACATGTCGTGGTTCGATAATTTTAATTAGAAATAATATAAAAATAAATAATATTACTTTAAATCCATGCAACTTTTTATTTTATTTGTTACTAGCGGCTTACCCTCACTTCGCTCGGGTTCGCCTCTAGGAGGACAAAAACAAACCTATCCTACGGTAACCGTATATTTTTCCCGGATAAAAAGTAGCCTATGTGGCTTTTATCCAGATCCGTTCAGCCGTTCTGGCGTGAAAGAGTAACAAACATCCATACATACTCACGAACTTTCACATTTATAATATTAGTATAGATGTATATCCTTTACATTGTAAAGACCATTTTTTTACATCAAAGCTATGAAAACTATTAAAAATATATCTTTTTATTATACTCGATATCAATCTAATGGTAAATTAGTATCATTATTTTACTCTACAGAAACTATGAAAGGTATTATACGCTGAAGTATTTTTAATACGTCCTGTAATTGGCGTTAAACGTGTTTTTAATCTTTTGATCAAAATGTTTTAATATAGAGTAATAACAAACTTTAAAAGTCAAGGACGACCGTTACCCTACAATTTGCATATTAGATTTTTTATAGTTAAAACGTATATTTCTGATCTATTTTTGGAAACAAAATAATGTGTAATTTATTAAGCTCTTCCATAAGCTTATTCAGAGTTTACGGCCAGACTTACAATCATAAACTTATGAATGTGTAGATTGTAGGGTTTTAGAAAATAAGTAAGATTTTCTAATGCCGAACTTTAGGCAGTGGCAACCTAGTGGTAATGCACTCGCTAAGAAAACCAAGCGAAGCGGTTTCGATAGATCTTGCTGCATCTCTAATATGATTATTAATTTTATATAATGTGAATTATTTTTCAACATTATTACCACAAAACTTAAAGCCAAAAAGAAAACGAAAACCTGCATGTCTGAGAAGATCTAGCTAATTTTTAAAAGACGTGTGAAGTTTGCCAACCCGTACATGACCAGTCCACCTCGCTGGCCAAGTGCGGGTTGGCGGACTGCACGTGTATTTCGAAAACTTGTTAGGTTCTCTCAGTTACACAGGGTTTCTCACGATGTTTTCGATCACCGTAAGACAAGTGGTAATCATTTGGAAGTGATTCGCACATGAAAATATCAGAAGGGCGAAGCCGTGCAAAGAAGAGGGGTTTGAATCCGTTTCACTCAGTTTCCCAAGCGAGTTCTTTACCAATGGACTACCACTGCCTTAATCTCGAAAGCTTTTTATAAACGTAGCTAGAGTATATCGCATGCTTTATATCAATTTATAAATAAGTCGATACTTTATTAGATTTTCGTCGATAAGCGCCCTCAATGTTTAATGCCCGTTTGATTGGCTGTTGACCCATTTGTTAAGTTAGATTAGCTAGAGATCTTTTATTTTGCGACTCTATCGAGTTGCGATAACTTACGATAAATAACTGAAAACAGTTTCAATGTACCGTCTAGGAGTGTCTAAGCTATTTGCAAGCTTTATTTTTTAATTAGTGTCTGAACTTTACTATGCTCAAGTAGGTACTTGATAGGGAGATCCCTATAGGTCCTTTTTGTGGTGTGACACAGAAAATTAACTATTCTTTATAAATAATTGTACCTTTCTGACAAACGATCAGCGCCACCTTTTGGCAAATTTTATTACTTTTAGTAGCTTAATGTGTTATACATCCATGGCATCTATTTGTGCACTAAACATCCAAATCAGTGAAAAAATAGTCCGAATAAGAATGTATTAAACTGGCAAATAGATGATTTTTATTTTTTTTTAGTTTCTTGTGGGATGTATGATTAAATTTAAAGTAATATTTGTATACCAGCATATAAATATTATATATGTATATTATATATGTATATGTTATATAATCAAAATATATAATTGACATCCCAATAGTTTTTCAATATTGAATGCCAATTTATCGCACTGTGTTTCAACCGATAAGTTATATAAAGTCACATCTGGCGATGATATCCTTTCTATGACTTTGGTTGGAAATTTGTAATATATTACAATATTTGCAATGTGAGTTATATTTCTTACTAAAATTAGTACGAAATAGTTTTTATAATACTCGTATGAAAGTTTAGTATAGCCTTTGTATATATAAAGAGTAAATTGATATCTTTACATCCATTCGAAATATATTTGAAATAGGGTTTTTTTGTCTGTGAATTCATTGAATAACAAGTTCTAAGAAAATACAGAAAATAAATTACAACCTCATTTCACAAAGTATACTTTTCATCTTGCTCTACATTATTATCTAATTATGTTTTTTTCCACAGGCCTTCAAGCTATTCAAAAGAAACAAGAGTAAGAAGAGTACAAGAAATAGAGTCTCACCTGCTCTTGTGCGGTCTCCATCATACAGTGGCACGATTGACGCAACGCCAGAAATAAATGTACAGAATTTCTGTCCGTGTAGGACATCCATGCCCCCAGTTCACATAGCAAACGAATCTTATGACAATACATACTATAACACCTACAATAGCTACGATTCTCACAACGACAGCTTAAAAAGCTACAACAACTCTATCTGTAATAGTTCTGGCAGATCGGATTCCGCATACGAATCTACACGGAGCAGTCCATCCCATTCCAGGCCGGTTTGTTACGCAACCGTCACGTATTTTAACGTAAACGATAGTGAAGACAGTAGCAGTATCCATACTGAATACACTTTGCTAGATTACGATCCTGATGTAGAAAACGAGAAAGCTCAAAACATGATCAACGAGAGTATTGAGTTAGTTAGTACGCTGTAAGTTAGTTTAAATTAGTTATATAAAACTTAACACTTTTTAGTTTACTTTATATTTTATTACACAATATAATTTTTAGATTATTTTATTCTTTCTTTTGTAATATAATTAAGTTTCGAGGGACCTCTCGAAGTAAATTAAAAGTAGAGCCTTCAGAATAAAAATTTAGTTTAACCTCTGATCTAATTTATATTTTATTAGTTATTTTATTTTGAAATAAAAAAATTAAAGTAATAACAGTTTATTTAGTATTTAAACGCCAGATAAACTCTTGATTAAACAAAATTACGAAATATACCAAAATCCTTGTTAGTAATTAGACTTTAATTTATGTTTTTTTTTTTCAATATTTATTAATTAATAGTATTAAGCGCACATTGTTGCATTTACTAGAATTATGTTTATAATTTTTCCGTTAGAATATATTTCATAGCCAAATATGTTGACAAAAAACCGTTTTTTACGTTCCATCATATAATAACTAGACTTTCAGTCTGGATCTTACATATATTCACTACACTATCGTATACCAAATATTACTAATAGTTAATACTGTACTTATTAAGTATACATATGTGTATGATGAGATTTAGCTAAAAACGTTGAGATACGAGCGCGTATCAAAATTACTTTTGTATTATTTAAACGATATAAAGTGTTTTGGTACCAATTTTTTATTATCTGTACAGATAATGATCGTATAAAGTAAGGTCTTATAATAATAAAAATAATAGGCAGTGGTAGCCCAGTGGTAACGCGCTCGCTTATGAAACCTAGTGAAGCGGGTTCAAATCCCACGTCTCGCACGTCTGATTTTCATGTGCGAATCATTTTCAACATGATTACCACTTGCCTTACGGTGAAGGAAAACACCTTGAGGAAACCTTCTGAGAGAACCTAGCAAGTTTCCGAAAAATATGCTCAGTCCGCTCGCACTTGACCAGCGTGGTGGACTATGGCCTGATCCCCCTCGTATTGAAGGGAGGCCCATGCCCAGAAGTGGGACGTTTTAAAAAGGGCTGAATACACATACAGATAACGAGGTCTTCTCTTACGACGACGTATATTAATTTGAAGCAAGATTTTGTGTGTATATTTAGATTTAAAGCGACTACCAAAGTTATTGTGATATTCATTAGGTTATATGTAAAAATAATTCATATCTGTTGATCTCAATTAAAGTTTATATGTAGAGTAAGATATTCCGATATTTTAATGTATTATGAATAAATAATGATACAATTTTATTGATATTTCATTTCATTTATGTCATATAAATATAAGGTGTTTAAAAATAATAATTTATAATAATTGATACCACAATAATAATTATAATTTCTAAAATATAGTTTTTTTAAATATGATAATTCTATTGTACTATAGTATAAAATATTTTTTTTAATTATATAGTATTATTCAATGCGAAAATAAAATATGCCATTTTAAAAACCTATTAACTAGTGTTCGTCCAATGGTAGAAATTGGACTATAATAATTATTTACAATTTGAGGAAACCATACATGTAATAGAATTTAATTTATATCTGTAAGTCTATAAAAGAATTAACAGGTTCAAAAAAAAGTTCAAAACTAAAGCTCGTCAATAACCACTAAACAAAAAAAATCGATTGAAAAACCGCTGAGAAAAATGTACTATACTGATTTTTTGCCTATTTATAGCTATATAGATAACTCTCTACTTATGTATGTCAAGTCTCCTCTATGACTTTCAAATCAAATCAACCACTTTATTGCGTACTTGGGTTAGTAAATACATTTAGATTTTGATAATAATATATTTAATGTTCAACCAAATTCAGCCTTACAGCATGCAATAATTTAATCATTAAAATATACATAAAATTACAAATGTTAACATATTGTATTACATAATAACATATTATTCAGTATTATGTTTGACTTCCTGTATAATGTATTTTATATAATTCTTTTTTAGCTAGTTAATTACAATACCTATCTATATACCTGCTTAAAATGATATACCTATTACACCTTATCCAACATATAGTTTTTAACTGAATAATACGTCTTTTCTAATAGAAATTTCTTTACATGCATCTACGAGTACTTAAAAACCTAAAAATTGGTTTATTTGAGCAATTTCAATATATAGGGTGTGTTTTCATTATTACGTAAAGTATATTATAAAACAAGTTTTCACAGTCCGGACGCAATTATGATATTTCTTTAGCCGCAAAATGGGTAGAATATAAAGCATTTATAAACAAACAGGTTCCTTTCCATTTAGATTTTTGTTAAGTTACACACAATGTAGAGTTAGAACGTGTGAGCACGTGCGCTCTATGGAACTTTTTAGGGCGCAATTCTTTTATTTTTGTGCAAATATTGTTCTTCATGTTTTTTATGTTTTTTTTTCTAAAAATGAATAATAACATCACATTTTATTAGATGGCATTATAATTAAGATGTAAAACTGTAGTTTTTCAAATATGCCAATTTTTCCCGATAAATAAATAATAAATAGGCCTGTGCTATGGATACCAGATAATTGATACACTACACATATATAATTATATATATATATATATATATATATATATATGACTGGAGTACAAACATTCGTGCTCATCACACAAATAGATGCTCCTAGCGGGACTCGAACACGGGACCGCTGGCACAGCAAGTAGAGTCACTACAAACTGAGCCAAACGTGTCACTGATACTTTAAGTATATATGTATTATATATATTTTTCTAAAAATCTTATATACTTCATGTACTTTACTTAAAAATAACTTATTTCCTAAAAAAAATTTTATTAAGGAACGTTTGTGTGCTAAAGGTTATTATACTCGTACAATTAATGAATTTATAGAAGATGGCACGCTTTGAGAAAGATGTGATCACCTCCAGGCTACTTTAATTTTGTGAATTACTATAATTTATAATTTAACTACAAAAAAGAAAAAAAAAATAGTCCCGCTGAATTTCTTTCGCCTCTTCTCTCAGTCTCGAGTTTCTTCATTCCAAACTAGTGCTAGACATTCTGTAGAAAATTGAAACAGTTTAAGACCTACTGAATAAATTATTTTTAATTGAATTTTTGAATTAGCCAATAAAAATTAAGATTACTTGCTCTTTCAAAATTCCGATATCTATCCCATCGCTTAGAGGTGAAGTCTTCCTTCTGATGCAATACTTTAACTAGCAAGTTTAATGCAGTACTGGACTCTTATTTGAATCCCTTACAAATTGAAATTCACATACACTCTGGTGCTCGTTAAATAAATTGCAGCCCTTTTCAATATTCCAATACCAGTTTCCAACAATCGCCGATATCTGAAATAAGCCGCTAAATCCATAAACCCGTTACACAGGTTTCTTTTTACAACTTTTTTAAAATCTTATTGTTAAATAATTTTGAATGTCTATTTAAAGGCAAAAATATAATATTTTCCTTTCAAAGCACAAATTTTACAATTTTTAACGAATAGCTTTACTCGTTACGCTCTTATATTCTTGTATTCGATATTTCGAAATTTGACAAAAAATATGTTAAAATTATATTAAATATATTATATACTTCTGTTAATTGACTCACATCAGCATGATGATGTTTTTGCTTATAGTAAACCGATGTTTGTATTTTTTTTAATAGTTTATACTGGACATATTACATACACACACAGTGGATAAATAATAGCAAATTAAAATAAGACACACATAATAAAATAAGACACATTACAGTGGATAAATAATAATGAATATGTTGGGACATTAACAGACAGCACCATCTGATTCCATGGTAAGCAACGAGGCTTGTGTTATGGACACCAGATAGTTGATACATTACACATATATAACTTTAAATACATACATATTATAAATATAAACACCTATTACTGGAGTATAAACATTCGTGCTCATCACACAAATGCACCCAGTGGGAAGCGAACCCGCGGCCGTCGGCACAGCAAGTAGGGTCACTACAAATTGAGTTAAACGTGTCGTCAATATTAGTAATATAAGGTAAAAATCAAATGATATTGCTTATTGAAATATATTGCTTATTGAGGGTTTCGATTTCCATTCTTATATTAAAATAGTAGTCTATAATAGAAACATTTATGAAGACGAAAATAAATTCAAAGTATTTACTTAAAACTACTAGCCGTTTCTATTGAATTGGATGTTTCCAAATAAAATTATCAAATGTTGTTGTTTGTGAACAAATAATTATTATATAATTTACTTTTGTACAATACGCAAATTCCAATATCTAGCTTTCAATATTATATGTTTATTTGTAGACGCGTGTCTTGCGTCACGTAAGCGCGTAGAAATTATAATATTTTTATAGATTTACGCGAATATTTGACATTTATACATACCTATAATAAGATTCTAACCGAGTAGAACCTGTGCATTATATATTAATTGGCAAATTTTCTTGAAATAGTTATTATTATTAGAATTTTTGTCTGTCTGGAAACGCATCACGAGAAAACTACAGCACAGATTTTGATGAAATTTGGTATGATGATAGCTGGTTATCCGGGTCAACATACAGGATACGTTTTACTGCGGGAAAATTATCTCTGAGAAATCTATATACTAAACGTTAAAACGTAACTAGGATCGAATCAGAGCGGAACTAAGATGAGTCGCTAGTTTTAAATAAAACAATTCAAATCATATTGACCTAAATATTTTTGTAAAAATTGTTAAAAATGAATAAGATAGTAAAAAAAACAAAACTGAAAATTTTTATTTGAATAGATTTTCACAATCTACCTAACGGAAAAGTTACTAGATATTCCTGTTCTTTGACACGTGATATTTACGATATTTGCTGCAAATGAGAATCGAACCTATGAAACTGTCCTAGGAACAAATTCTAATGTTAATACGCCACACAATCAAGAATCTGAATATAAAGGACACAATGGCCCTATTGATTTCGATATTGGAAGATCGTATCGCTGTATGTGGGTTAATTGTTTAAAATATTCATCATTTTGAATAACTTTACTTTTAAATTCATATAAATATAAAGCTTTTGGTGTTTTTAAGATTAAAATCTTCTCTAATCTTGAAAATAATATAAATCTTGAAAATTGAAATGGATATATTTAAATTAAATACTATTTTAAGGTTTAGTATTTTTATATTTAGCTGCAAGTAAAAATAATTACTTACATGTCATATCGTAACTTAAGTTATTAATTACTTAAAGTATGAGACTTGATTTTATAACACTACTAGTAGTATACTCTTACAATGCAGTTTTTGTATTTTTTCTCTGAAATGAGATATTTTCCCGCGGTAAAAAGTATCCTATATGTTGACCCGGATAGCCAGCTATCACCATACTAAATTTCATGAAAATCTCTCCAGTGGTTTTTCTGTGATGCGGTAACAGACAGACAGACAAAAATTCTAAAAAATTTAGATTCGGCCTCTGTATCGATAATAATTTCTATTTCAATAAGATTTTTCAAAAAATATTTAATGTACTGATTCGGCTTAGTTACAATTTTATTATATGTATAGATGTAGACGGGTCGCGCGGTATATATAATATAAATGTAATTACAAAAATAATAAGTGAACTAAAAAGGTGGAAACCAATTGACTTAGGCACATAGTATTATGCAGTCGGAGACATATATATATATATATATATATATATATATATATATATACATGTAACAAGACATACATGCCTATAGGTCAAACACATAACCTTCCTCTGGAGCATCGTCGCAATCGGGTGAAAATAAGCACGCCAGCCAATCTGGAACTTGTCGCTTGTACTACATTTGTATATATATGCCTTTGCCTTCAATTTTCTCTTAATAGTTGTAATTTATGTTTTTTATGTGCAATAAAGAGTATATATATATATATATATATATATATATGTATATACATATGTATTTATAAATAATGGCTAATAATGAGAATTAATGCTTTGAAAATGCTATTTAATAGTTCTACGATTCAACTCCATCGAGCGAAATTACATACATTCCTCTAATCTTGGCAAAGTATTATAAATATTGATGCACTCGAAAATTTTGAAAAAAATAATAATATGCGGAAGCAACTTATATAGTTATTTCAAATGCCAACACAGACACACGTACGCACACGATCGCACAAAAAATAACGTTTTTGCCTTCCTTCCTACGGAAATACAGAAAGAGAGGGATATACACAAAGTATACGAGTGTAAGGGACAGCGTTCGTGGGAAACGTTAGGGTGGCGATATCCCATAGCGCTAGGACCCTAGTGCATCTGGCGGGTCAGTATTAATTGTGACACCTGTTTATTGCTAATTTATTGTAATGTGGACACTTGCCTTTGATGATATGCGGTTTTTACTCCGTAAATGGTTCATTAACGGACTTTAAAGGAAAGTTATTAATTAGCATTCGTATGTACTCGTAGATATTAAAATTGCAAATTATGTTTGGATATGGATTAATAAAAGTCAACTATTACCATTTTTAGGGAGTAATTAAAAAAAAATATTTCTTTATTTTAAGCGGAATTATTTATGTTTTATTCATATTTTAATCTATTGAAGTTTTAGCGTTAACGAGAATTAAACTTTATTATTTACTGAGACAATTGAATCGTAGTAAGTTTATTTTACTGAAAACAACTATTCGAAGGAGTATTTTTTATAATTTAAAAGGATTTTACGTAATTTTGCTTGAACAGTATATATTAAGAGGATTCAAATACTAAAAAGGTAAAAAATAAAAAGAAATTTATATAAATATGAAAAAATAATTTATTTCCTCTTCAATCGCTAGCGATTTAATTATTTACAAGAAATATACAGTAGGTATCGTATGGATACGTTTCATACATATGCTACACACAATGATTTATAAAAAAAAATTGTCACAACCGTGTGCAAATCACAAATTACATAAAAAACGTGAACTATGTACATTTTACATAGGTTTGATGACAAAAAACGTAGTCCATCCACTATTATGGCAAAATGGCTGTGAAAATAAACGATTGTGAGCAATTTTACCAAAATAGGTCTAGGACACGTTATTTTTGTATAAAATCTCATCTTTCAACATTTAAAGCTTGGTTTTTGGTCCCAAAGTACATAATCTTATCTAATAAACTTATCAATATACTATATCAGTATCACACAACTTTATAACTAATCTAGTTTCAACAGTCTTGAAAATAAGTTTTGGAATTAAACTCTGAGATCGACAACAATATACATTCATTTATCAATTCGATGGAAATGTTAAATATAGGGGTAGTAAATGCCCCTAGAACTCTCTTTAACAACAACCTGTAGAATTTGTAAGTCCATACTAAAATTATTCACATATTTTATTAATTAAAAAATACAGATAATATTGTTTTTTTTGGTCTCCCATTTGTACGACAAATATCGATGGAACCGACTTAATCGACATAATATTATGACTATTTCAAATGACTCTTATTACCGTACTATATTTAACATTTCAACAAAAAATATTAATTAGTAATTAATATGCTAATTCAGCTCCCCATGGTCTGTAGGGCTTGGAACTGTTTTGGGAGTACTGATGATGTGGAGGGTGGTGAGGATATGGCGCTGGATAATGTGGGGCAGTTGGTGCGGGGTGAGGACCAGGCGGGGCTGGGGGTCCGGGGGGTGCTGGGGGCGCAGGAGGATAGTGAGCGTAACTTGGGGGCGCTGACAGAGGCGCAGCTATCGCTGTAGGGGCTGCTACCGTTGTAGCAGTAGTTACGGAAGGCTCTTGCCGTAATTCCGTATATCCGTGTTGCGGTTGGGGAACACTTGGATATTGATAGCCCCAATTAGATTTAGCAGCTAGTTCTCGTTGTGCTGCGAAGCATTGCAAGTGGCTCATGAGGCGGAGACGGAGAGGATCCTGAATGTCCAAACCCTCACAGCTAACCAGGTACCGAGCGACTTCTGCAGCGCATTCTCTGAAGCCAATACTGTGGTAGTCCATCGCGTATCGTTGTGGATCGTAGGCATAGGTGTCGAGACCTGAAAATAATATCGCTTTTTAAGACTCTCATTTGCAATTGAAATCTTGAAGTACAAGTTTTTATGCAGCTGCTATAAAAGGGTGAAAAATAAATGATAAAAATAACTCGTTTTCGCAGATGCGCCTTTACTTTCAATATTGTTAAAAGAAATGTTTGAAATCAAGAAAACAAAACTGCCCCAACCAATCATTTTTACCCTTCTTACGCAACAAGTACGTGAAAGAGATAGTAGATAAGAAATAAAATGTGCAAAAGGGATGGATTCGTAACGGGAACCCCATGTTTCCGGCGTCCTTCCGTAGGGGAAAATTTAATAACAAGATCCGCTATCCTCGAGACCTATTGAGAGTGAGGGGTTGAAGTCAGTGGGCCACCGGGCCAAGGCGCTCTAAGATGACAAATATTGAGTGTAAAATCATTGCATAACTTGTTGAAATATTTTTTTTTTGCATGAAACATGTTTATTGTTCACATTGTTAATAATGTGTAAAAAATACAAGTTTTAAAGCTTGAATTTTCTTATATGTACATATGTAAAAATCTATAAATATTTATTTAACTGAATACTAACTTTATAAGTTATTTTTACTTAGATGTTTTTATTGCAAATAAATTTTGAAGTGTCGGAAACTAAGCAGGAACTTTTTAAGTAGTCGCTTGTGTGTTTCATTGTGCTATTTCGTCACTTCCGCCCTTGGGCCATCGTTTTTCTTAACTTTTTTAACACAGGTGGGGTAGCAACCCTTTCGTAGATTTGCTTCCGTTTGTTACAAAAGACACGTGATAGGGGAATGCGAATGTAGATTAGGACTTTAAATACTATTGTTAGATTTCTATATTATTTAAATAATTATTTATTCGGGGGATCTGTTCAGCGGTTTTGTTTGGTGACAGCTTTTTTTTACGATTTATTTCGAATGCTTAATTAAGAATTAATAGCGTCTATCATAATATATGCAGTATATTATTTTGTTCTAGTAAAATCTAAAATTGTTTCCACTTTAAGCCGACAAAGCGCGAACGTGACATTTCGCAAAGCATAAGAGTGTTATCACAGCGAATACTTCCCTGGAGAAATTACAATATTTTTTTTCTACAAAATCTTTTTATCCCACACAATTAATATGAAAATCAAAGCGGGTAGAATTACTGAGTTAAGCTCAGCATACGTTAGTGGAGGGCTCGTCCCTCTGGGGTGAGAGGCGGTCGCGGGTTCGGTTCCCACGCAACCCCTGCTAAAGTGATTATCTTTAGTTTCAGATTCATTGAATCATTGAATAATAGTTCGGTACTAATAGATGGTTTAACTTTATTGGCATTGATCAGTTGCCTTATATGATATACGTCTATCTCATTTGTGCTGTATTTGTTCTATTTTCTATTGTACTTATACGATTTAGTGTTTGATAATAATTTACCATTTTCAAAAAAGGCGGATTGTTTTTTTGTGTATGTTACTAGATTTGTATGTTATCTTCTAGAAATTGGCGTAATAAATTTGAAGATATATTCCACATAAGTCGAATATTTATTTTCAAAGCAATTTTAATGCAGCAGGTAATATTTTTTAAAATTTTAAATTCACTATATTCTCCATCACACGAGTACATTTGAATGGGCAATTTTTTGGACATTTCAGTTCAGTACATTTTTATCCTCTGTCGGTCAACCAATTTTCTGTTTCTTTTTTTTGTTTAATAGATATTATCGAGCTTTATTGTTATCAATAAAAAAGTAAATCGAAAAATCTATATATTTTTCACAAATTTTCAATAATGAATATGGTCTTTCGACCACAACACACTAGTTATTAATTATTAATTAATTCAGCATTGCCTCTTCTAATGAAAAAAATAACTAATAAATCCATATAATATTAAATTTCACTTTTAGAACTTTTCATCCTTGAAAAGCGGCCGCTGTCCTTCGCAATTAACTCCTTGACCTGAATGACCAATGAACTCCTTGAACTAGGCCATTAAAATTCTATTCATTATTGACTATTGATTTAGGTTCTGTATTAGAGGAACCTATGCACTTTATGTACCTACAAACGCTGTCAAACTACGTAAGTAATACATGGACGAAATTTTGTAGAAGTTCTACGATTGTTTGTTTTATCCCCATGACTTACAATAGCTACGAGCCTGGCCCTTCCATTTTTTAAAGTGGTCGAGGGGTGCTTATGTAATTTAAATAACCTAAATAATTTATAAAATTATGAAATAATTATTTCATTTTTTAGGAATAAATGTAGAGAAATACAATAAAATATATGAGAACGTAATATCGAAATTATAATTAAAAAATTAAAAGGCAATGACATCTTAAGCCTGATGATAATAAAAAAATCAATTGTATCATATTATAGAGCTTTTGAAGTTAGTTCTTACTCTACAAAACAAAACCAAAGATCACATATCACTAATCTACCGACCACTTCCCGTCTCAAGCGCCAGGTGTCTCTACCTGGGCCAATGGCGTTTTAATTGTCTGGACGCTTTGAGATGCGGTTTTAACCATTACTAGTAACTATTGTGGTCCAACTTTTTTAACGTTTTTTTTTTCTCGACCAGATGTTGGTTTTTATAAGATTTTGACGTTACTTAAGTCATTTTTCATAGTTGAATAGGATTCATTTAATTTGAATTTATCTTTTGGTAAAGACTACAGAGTTGAAATTATTTGCATTGCTACACTAAATATAAATAAATAAATATGTTGGGACATTAACACACAGCACCATCTGGTTCCATGGTAAGCTACGAAGCTTGTATTATGGATACCAGATAGTTGATACACTACACATATATAAACTTTAAATACGCGAAGCAAGTAGGCGAAGCAAGTAGGGTCCACTACAAACTGAGCTAAACGTGTCATCAAACTAAAATAATTTTTTTATTTATTATACAAATTTTACAGCGAAATCCTTCATAACTAATACAAAGAGATAGTATCTTAACAGAGTCCATAAATTCGATTTAAATGATTATTTAGTTTAATTATCATAAAAATCTATTAAAGTTACACTGGTGTGATTAATAAACAATAGCAGAACAAAATCCTGGATGAGACCTAGCGGTATCAACTAAAATCGAGGGAAATAATACAAGATCTAACTCTTTCAAACAATATCAACTTAATGTGGAATTGTGTGGAAATGTGGCTTTATATAAGCTAACAAGCGGATCACCCTCGCATTGCTCGAGTTCCTAGGTTGCTTTCTCATACAAACTTTCATCCACATTTTCAACCCCTTAAGGAATGATATCCGGGATAAAAACTATCCTATGTCTATCTTCTTACCAAATTTCGTATAAATCAGTTCCGTAGTTTCGGAGCTTATTCGGTACAAACAAACAAACAAAGAAATCTTTCCTCTTAATAATATTACAAGTAGTATAGATTAAACGTTCTGTAAAAAAATACTGTACGTAAACGCTACTGCATGTTTTTACGTCAAAAGCTCAGACGTCAAGCTTTAACCGCAAAAGTTACGGTTTGAAAGGTCACTGCGGAAGGAAGAGCAATTTATTTTAAAAAAAATCTATTTAATTTCATGGTCACGGTGTCGCTTAGTAATTGGTGTAGCTAATTATGAAGTATTATATATAAATGATTTGAAAGATAATTATTTAATTTTTCGTTACTATTATTTTCTATATTGTAACTTTTTATAATTTTTTTACATAGAAATTGAAAGATAATTCAGGAGACATATCTTCTAAATAACCACTATGTTAGACGATAGATATACATTTTAATAGTTCAAAAAACCCTGAAACCGGACATGTTATTCATATCATTTACATGAAAAGCAAAAATTAACACACTGATTATTGGATATTAAGCCCAATAGAGATATATTTAAGGTTATAAATGAAACAAACTTGTTATGTGTCACCACCTGTCGCACCCGGAAGCGTGGGAATGCTTTGCCATTGATAAAGTGATAACGTGACATGTGCGTGTTGTGACATTTGTGTATACGTAGTTTATGGGTTTTAGACACGATATGTCAAATTTTTCTAACTCTAAAATAATTAAAAATTAACTCTCCAAACTTAATTAATAAACAGCGCATTTTTTGTTTCTAGATTATATATAAAAAAAGTAGAAGATTTACTTAGTTTTTCTAAGTAATTCTGGACCTGTTTAGTTTTTCTTCCTGTCTAGTTGTGACATGATCAAAAGAAGTTAAATTAAAAAAATATATTTTTTGTATGATAGCTAACATATACTAAACGTATATTTTATATTTCAAGTAGCAAGTATTTTTTTGCGGATGTAGCAAGTATTTTTTATTTTTTTGCAGATTAATTATTTTTTTATTCCGCGGTAAAACCCAACAACGTTTTATGAATTGTACTTTTTGCGGAAATATAACGGTATTCATCTTAATTTGAAGGAAACGGAAGTCAGAGGACTTGGACGAACAAATGACAGGATAATTGTTGAAATAACCGTTACAGGCTGTATTTTTACTGGTATTTTAACTTTTGGAAATAGTTAAAGCGTAAGAGATGATTATTGTACATATTATTTACCTATAAATATATTGTATGTTTGTTTGTCCTTCTCACGCGCAGCAATAAATAGATTGATTGATAGGCTTCTCTGTGTCTTAGTTAAGTGATTCTCTAAGAATAATAATAATTTGTAAATAAATGTAAGGACGCGCTAGATGTAGAGTTCTACTGGTAATAATAAATACTAAAAAATATATTACATTTATACATATAATATAATAATAATAATTCTTTATTTCTCACCAAAAACAAATTAGTACACACATCAATATTAGAGATCTTAGTTTAGCATGAGCTGTTACAAAATTTGGTTTTGGATCGCTGGTATAATATATGGTATATATAAATGTTAGTATGAATTTACCTTTAGCATGCAGCATCTTTAAATGATCGACGGTAAGTTGCAAGATCTCGGCCTTTTCTAATTTAGCACTTCCTTGCTTCTCACATGCGGCGGGCACCAGTCGTTTTAGTTCTGTCAGAGAGGTGTTGATGCGATCTCTACGTTTCTTCTCGATTACACCTCTACGACGTTTTCTGGTCATCAGTTGACAGGAATCTCCACCGGGTGACCTGAAGAAGAAGTGTCGAGTTAAATATTGTATACTAGCAAAACACGCGGCTTCGCCCGCATTCAAAGTACAAAAAAACAAACTCTTCTTTCTTTTTCCTTTACAATAATGTATGGAAGTCTGCCCGATTTGTTAACATTTATGATTACTGCTCCGTTCCCTTGGGTAGTAGCATGATGATATATAGCCTATAGCTTTCCTCAATAAGCGGGTTATCTAATTATTATTAATAGTTTTTTTCAAACAAACAAACAAACAAACAAACAAACAAACCAACAAACAACCTCTGCCTGATTATAATATTAGTATAGATTGTTTGTAAAGAGTTGTATAATATATTTGACTAATTTCTAAAAGGAGGTAATCATAAAATAATTTGTCTATAAATTTGAAGATATATTACGCGATCCTTCGCTAGTTTTTATAATTCTTAATTATTTTATTATTTGAGGATAGTCGCATGTAAATATCAAAGAAAATCCAATAAAAGTGGAATATGTAAACGATTTTGAACTCAGTATACCTTTTCTGTTAAAAAGTAATTATTTTCAGTAAAATAAATATTGTAAACTGCCTACATTTTAATTTATGTATGTCTAATGTTGAACACAAATAGATACGTATTGTACCTATATGTTATTTAGTAACTTCAACTCAGTATTTTCAAAATATAATTATTATAACAAATAGCAGTAGTTGTAAGCTTGATATATATACAAACAGGCAAAAATAAATATATTGGTTTTTAAATTATCCAAAAAAGTCAATTTTTACATATATATCTAAACATTACGTAAATATATCTATTAATTAATATGTTTCTTATTTTTTCAAGGTGTAAAAGCCTAATTTGTTTGAGTGATAAAGGAGATATATACTGAATTGATATATATTACGGAAGAAAAACCACGAGCAAAAACAAGTATTGAATAAAGTCACACATGATGAAAAAAATAGTATAAAGTTTCACATCTGGCATGTAACTGTCTCGTCGAGACTGTAAACAAAATCTAGTAATACCATCGACCACATTACGTCACAATCAAAGCGGCGAAGGCTTTACAATTTATAATTATCTCGCAAGTAATTTTACTGGCAAATTTAGCAACTTTGGGAACTAAATTAATAGATAGATTATTATTTTGTACTCGTAAGTTGGCCAATTTTGAGACTGACAGGTGTTTGTGTTCAGGGTTTCAATAATGTGTCTGAACTCTGAACTAGGTCAGACTAAAAATATATAGTCAATATATTCTTAGTCTGACCTCAGTAGATGTGGTATACAGCCCCGACCTATGTATATATAATGCACTTTTTAGAGACAGTATGTAACATACACTTTGAAAAACTATTGTTACGTTTTATTGCGGATTCTCTATCATATCATTATCTCTATATCTATATCATTATCATTATCTATATCATTACTTTTTAACTCATTTTTTAGTCTCTACAAATTAACTTTTTAAGATTTTTTTTATTTAACCTTTTTTCATTTCATATATCTAGGTTTGTTTACGTACGATATTTTATTTGTATTAAATTCAAACATTTCTGTTGTTTTGGTAACAATGTTAGGAACAAAAGGAAAAATTTGGCTTGCCTCATTCATAACTTTGGGTAAGTGGAACTTTTTACATTTTTAAGCCCATTTAAATTTCAATAATGTTTTTACTTGCAAAGTTTACTTTTAGACTAAAAACATAAGTAAATTCCTTTGAGTTGGTTTCAAGCACTCCGCTCGAACGCCCAGTGCTACGCAGTCCTGTGTAAAGGGCCACGCTTATAGGTTATATCTACGTTATAAAAATAAAATAATACTAATTTTTATCCAGCATACTAAAAATACTCTAAAAACTTCTTATTTTGAATAACTTATTGTTAGTAAAATATGACATTATTTAATCAATTCTCTAAAGAAAACGCAAAATAAATTCAGTACAACTATTTTTATATATGCATGTGTAATGTGTATATTTATTGTTAAATCCAAAATGTGAAAATAATAAATTGGAAAATGAACAAATTTATATTTAAACGTACGTTTTAATGTTTAGTATAGATTTCTCAGAGATAAGGTATTTTTCCGCAGTAAAAACTATCTTACATGTTGACCCTCAGCTGAGCTATCATCATATCAAATTTCATCAAAATCTGTCTAGTGGTTTTCTGGTGATGCGTTTCCAGACAGACAGACATACACAAATTCTACTAACTATAAATTCTGCCTCTATGCGATGATAATGACTATTTCAATAAGATTTCCCAAAAAATATTTAATGTACAGATTGGACTCATAATTTTATTATATAGAAGTCTAAAGGAAAAGCGTAGGTGGGTTACGAAAGGCTACGACATCGCTACGTCGATTGTGCTACGCTATTATTTGTTTTTATTTTTAAATTATCTCTAAACTTATTTAGAGTTAAATATAAGTTTACATTCTTTTCTTATTGGAATCTTGTTACAGTATAAGTATAATTGAAGTATTCTCATACTTTAAATATGCTTTCAAGTTCATTTCACTAAACTTTTCTTTTAATATGTTAATAAAAGCTTAGAAAGAATTATAATTGCATCTGTATTTCTAATTCTTTAATAATTTAAGTAGTTATTTTTTTAAATAGAATATTTTAAAATTGAAACTCACTGTGCATCTTTACTGCTTGATTCTGAAAAGGCATCGTCTTCGCTTTCTGAATGTGTTCGTTTGTTTCTCTGCGCGGGTGCCGGAGGAGGAGCTGGAGCTGGAGGCCCCCAGCCATAGCCACCCCACTGAGCCTGGTTCTGTGACTGATGAAGATTAGGCTCCATATGTCTTTGGTACTCCATGGTTTAATATGACACGATTATTTTGACTGTTTTCACTAATAGTATAATGTATATTTTAGTAAACTGTTTATTGTAGGTTCTCAAACTTTCAATAGTATTTCAAAATTCATCACAACAATCCTTTCCACATAAACCTTGTCAACCACTACAGAACATCAAATATTGAAAATTTGTTTAAAAACAATTTGACATCACGATTTTCGCACAAAAAGCACTTTAAAAAGTTAAAAATGTTGAACCACAAAAGCTTGAAAAGTGCTCAAAGTTTCAGGAACTGTGTAATTAACAGCGATCGCGTGCGCACGCGTCGACCGGCGGCCGCGGAGTGTGCGGCTGGGCGGCCGCGTGGCGAGCCCTGCGCCGACCCGCGGCGATGCGTGCCTGCCCACGTGACCACTCACTGCTAATGCAAATTCAACTTTACGATATGACAATAAAACTCATAATAAATGTACTAATTGTTAACAAAAATATTCCAAAATCGACGTTATGTAACTTTGGAATTTGAGCTTTAACTCTATTAACACTAAAGCCAAAGCTACCGTCCTCATAGATCAAAGAGGGTTTGACGTTACTTAAGATTTCCCATATACCACTAATTATTTGATAATCAATCCTATATGAACGTAATAGAGTTGAAAACGATTCGTAATTAGTTTATTATGTTTAAAAAGGCCGCGTGGCCGGCGCACGGTGATCGTCAATTAGGAAACGCAATTTTATACGGAACAATGAACTATTGTCTAAAGTTAAGGGATGGATCGAGAAGCGTGGCACTTATGTATGGAGCGAATTTAATTTGTGAATTGATTGGTTTGCTATGTATTGCGAACCAGTTTAGTCCTTATTAACACCTCCAAGTAAATTTCTAAGAAGTTAATTAAAATTCTAAGAAATCTATTGTTAACTGACACGCCGGCGTGTTCGCGCTCGTGGAGGAAATAAATAACTTGACTTACTTACGAGTATATCTACATGTATAAATAGGCAAAGACAAAACAGACAAATACTGTACCTATTTCTCCTGTGTTTATCAGGAGATTTTTATGTTTAGTAGCTGTATTATCAGTGAAAAAGTTTTGCAAACAGATCATTTTTAATATAGATAGATAGGTAAATTCTATTCATATATGTTTTCCTCAAATTTTCATCAATGATTATAATCGACTTTCGACCACTACACGAATTTTAGTTAATTTAATTTAGCTATTACTACTGGAATCTGAAATTCTGTCTGGTTTTATAGAGAAGTCTGAAAAATAACAACAAAGATAATATAGAGTTTGAATAATTAGAATAATTATAATTTAATTTCATATTACAATTAACCTTGCTTGTGTAAACCCTTTAGAAAATTACTACAATTACTTATTTGAGATATGTGTATTTATCTAAGTATTAGCATAGAAAAATAAATTAAAATTTGATGTTGACGCACTGCACATATATAACTTTAAATAGATACATATTATAAATATAAGTACAAACACCCATGACTGGAGTACAAACATTTCTGCTCATCACACAAACGAATGCCTTCAGCGGGACTCGGACTCACGATCGCTGGCACAGCATGTAGGGTCACTACAAACTGAGCCATACGTATCCTCAATTTATTTATTATTTTAATTGCCCAAGCAATCAGGATAAAATGGAAAAAACAATAATTTAAAGATAATAAGAACTAAGAAGCACCATTTAAATATGATTAATAAAAAAAGGATTTAAAACTACAAAAAGATTTCGCGAGATTTTACACGGGTCTTAAGCGATTTCTCAAATAACAAAACGTAATTTTTTTTAAGAATTTCCCAATGACACTATATGACACAAAGAATGTAATCCTTACGTCAAACTATTGTCTAATCTCTCATCCTATTCCTGTGAAGGGCTCTTGCGAATTGCGACTAATTCAATGAGTTTGATATTTTTGTAGAGGCCTTTGTAGAGCTAAGAAGCCGCTCTCCCACCTGGTGTTTTGGCCTTCTGGTATCGTTTAAAGATCTTAACAAGTTTTTTTTTTCTTATTTATTCCATACCGCCCACTGGTATGTCTTTGAAGTAAACAAACTTAAGTCTTTGCAAGCGAATATGCAATTCTTACAGGACTGACTCAACTGTCGTTATAATTATTCCTTTTGCAGATCTTGAACTGCTGAGTTAAATTCCCGGTCAATTCAAAACAGTTATCGCTTTTTTTGTCATGAAGTACTCAGTATAAGCTAAGGAGTTCTGTACACCCGATGTCGATGTGGCGTTGTTAGGCAGAGCATGTTGTCATTTTACCGGAATACGTGAGTTAGAAGCATAGAAAGTGCACTTGTGTACTATAAAATGTCATTCGGTCTACCCTTATACTCGTAATATGAATCGATCAATGATTATAAATATTTTTTTCGATATGGTAATTTTATAATTATACTAGCGACTCATCCTTGCGTTGCTCGGGTTCGTCCCTAGCTTGATTCCCCATACAAAATTTGATCCCCCTTTTCCACCCCCTTAAGGGATGGTTTCCGGTATAAAAATTTCCTATGTCCTTTCCAGAGCCTCTAACAATCTTCTTACCAAATTTCATCTAAATCGGTTTAGTAGATTCAGAGATTACCCCCTACAACGTCACAAACTCACAATTCACAAACTCAGAAACTTTACCTCTTGATAATATTCTAATAAAGATAATTACAAATATAAATAATTATGTTGTTAAATAGTTTTATAATCCATCGCTACAGAATCATCAAAAACCAGCTTGGTAACAGATTAAAGTTGGTTAGGGCTCGTTAGGTCTTTCTTTAAACCTAGAAGCCCTTTCAACTAATAGTGCTGTATCTTAAATTTAAACTTGGTTAGATAACATTATATTGTTAATCTAATAAATAATATGAAAAAATCTTCCTTATCAATTCCACGGGCAAAGACTTACATATATGAATAATAAAATTGTAAGTACGTTTGCTTTATACTGGATTCCAGAGTCTTGAGGACTTGATGAGGCAAATTTTCCCTGCGCTTAGCTTTATTATTTATAGTAAGCTCAAATAAACAATTCTCATCTCATCTCATGGCAGGTAATAGTACATATCGAACACCACGTCTACATTTTCTCACAAAATCGGGTCGCACAGTCAGATATAAAATACAGATATTATATAAAAAATATCAAAAAGCTTAAATTTTCGACTTTAACTCGTTTTTTTGTAGGCGTGAGAATGGACTGGCAGGTGTCTACAGGCATTGTGCCTATTGTGTGCAAAACTCTTTATATCGAGACCAACACTCACTCGAAACTTCAATACTGTATATGAAATGTATTTTTGATTGACTGTTAGCATGTGGGAAACTTTTGAGTTTGTTTTTGTTTATTCTGGATTTGGATCATAAATTAACTTGCTTTATATTTTTGATCACTGACATTTATTTTATTATTTTTTGTATGTTATTTATATTATTGTTTCTTGTTTATTTTTGTTCTAGTAATACCTTTTTTTTTTAACGTTGGGAAATGCATTTACGCACGACGTGTGAGACTCACTGGCGTAATACAGCCAGTACTACCCACTAAAACCCAACAAAACCTTCCCCCGTCTTAATGGGACGTCGCAGGATCGCTTACGCATTCAACTACGACGCCCCGACGGCAGGTCTGTCGAAGCAGACCACCACAACCATGGGGTTGCTCCAAGATCCACTCTGCTATCAGAGAAGTACCAGGAGCAACCCACATGGTACACCCCCCTCCGAAGAGGGCCACCTCCCACCGCCCACCGAAGTGGGCAACCTCCCTGTGCGTTTCTTAGCTGCGCGCCCGGTTGGATTGCCGGGCACTACTGAGCCCCCCCACCACGACAAGGTAAACACACGTTGGGGGGTTCTAGTAATACCTTTCGTAGCTCAGTGGTAACGCGCTTACTTAGGAAAACTAAATGAAAGGGGGTTCAAATCCTGGGTCTCGCACCTCTGATATTTTCATGTGCAAATAATTTCCAATATGATTACCACTTGCCTTACGGTGAACAATAACATCGTGAGGAAACCTAAATGTCTGAGAGAACTTCGAAAGTTTTCGAAAAACACGTGTAGTCCGCGAACTCGCACTTGGCCAGCGTGGTGAACTATGCCTGATCACCCTCATACTGAAGGGAGGCCCGTGCCCAGCAGTGGGACGTTAAAAAGGGCTGAATAAATACATACTATATTATGGTTTTGTGGTATACCAAATATAATACGACATTCTCAGACAGCTTGTTATTTTTTTATTACCGTAGTTCCAAGGATTGTAGAATATCATCTTGCTTAAGCTCGTTGATCATCGTTCAAATTGATTTTTTATATATGAGTAGTTATACCTTACATTTACACAATATGTGTAGTAATATTTTTATGGTGCCCCGCAGAAACTTTAGTTCACCCGACCATTTTCAACAGTGCCGAAATATTGGGTACTCTTTAAAGTACACGTACAACATGTTACATCCCGCCTTTGACTGAATCTCTTAATATTTTGCTTAACGCATATTTTGTTTTTGAAATCTTAGAATTTTAAGATACTGTTAAGATACTGTAAAACACAGGTAAAGTTATTATTGTTTAAAGTGTACTACATATTTAAAAAAGCTTTCTCTAAAATAGAACAAGCAATTGTAAGCAAAGCTAACGGTGCTTACGATCAGTCAAGACCACTAAATGTCACAAAACAAATAAATTTACAATAAAAAATTAAGTATATTATCATATTATGTTACAACTTAACCAGTTAACGTTGACCTCTGACAGACCCTTAAATGTACCGATTAAAGGTTAATGTTGCAAGAAAGCCGTGCCATTGTAAATTTGTCAGCAGCTTAGTTCCCGTGTGAATGCGGGGTAGAACGAGTAATACGAGGGTGGTATTAAAATGATTGTTGATTTTGCCACTGAGCTTAGGACATGTTGGAAAATGTGGGAAAATAGTGATGACAAATTTTATTTTAACATACACACGAGGTTATCAAAACGTCTATTTATATTTTTAAAATAGATGGCTGGCACAGAGATTTTGACAATTGAAATATTAAAAAATATATGAAAATAGTTAATTCTAGAAAGATTCAGTCTTTTCTAGAAAGCTATTTACAAATTTGTTGAGAATCTATTTCTATCAAAATTGAATATATTGGTAAATATTGAAAAATTTACGAACTCCATGGGAGTGTTTCATTATAATATATAAATAGTTGTGTTTACTTCGGGGAATAGGAGCGGTAGATATTTTATTTGTACTTTATGAACAGTTTATTCAGTCTACGAATTGACATAAAAGATAATGACAGTTGTCATTTGAAATTTAACAATAGTAAATATGGTACTGAGTGGAATTCAAATGTAAAGCAATCAAATTAAATCTGTAAATTTAACTTGGATATATTTATTGTTATTTGTTCCCATTAAATGAAGGATGAAAATTCAAAATATACGTACCTATCTATTAATGTTTTACTTTACTTTTATTTCTAAAATTACTTAATGAGATTACAGAGTTTGTGATGCATAGTAAAAAAAGGAAGATAAAATAAAATAATCTGTCATCGCATGTTAAAATCGAATCAAATCAATTTCCGCATTCCCCCTTTTTCTGATATCTATGATTTCACGTCGGATCTGCCTCCCCAAGTCCCGTCGCTACAGTCAAGATGCGCGTGCGCAGCGCGTGTGAGCGCGTGCGCTGCGCCTTTCACACAATTAGGGACGACGTGTACGACCATACGTCGGGATTTAATTGGGATTATTTAACTTATAGCCGATAGAATCTAAAAATTGGACTTTTAGTTCAATTAAAAGATTAAGTAATAATATTAGTCCCTCTGAGCTTCTTTCCCCAGTTCTTCTCAGGTCTGAGGCTACTTCTTTCCAAACTGGCAGTAGACTCATGACATTTAGTAAAAATTTGTAATAACGTAATGCTGAATAAAATATTTTGAATTTGAATTAACTGATTTTGGAGTGAAGATACAATTTTATAACGATTAATTCTTCCAGTCTAGATACCAAGATTTTTTTAAATGACATAGGAACTTATATTGTAAAGTATAAGTAGTTAAAAGGTAGGAAAAATCTTCCCTCATTATATTTTATATTTTCTTCCTGTGTAGTCACAAAAATGAAAAAAAAATGTTTCTATATCTAGTCGATAGAGTAACTATTTACTATTATATTTTTATACAAATTGTTAATTTAAGAAAATATTGAGAAATTTTTAAAAATTCAAATTTAATATTTTATTTGTTTCTTATGCCCAAATGCTCATACAAATGTAAGTGCTGAAGTAGTCCCGCATAATTTCCATCCTGATGGCGACCCGCGCGCTAAGTAGCAGGTGATCTATTGTTTACAATCGATGCGATTTTATTGCGAGGGGTGTTTGATATTTTTTCACATAACTTTCTTGTAGGGCTGTTATTATGGGGTCAAAATAGTAGTTTAATGCGGTTAAGTTTTGGAGGGGGAGTATTAAAAATTACAATAAGGCACAACTAGTGTGTTCCGCGGCTCCGCCCGCGTTGATTAATTATAATTTATGTATAACCAGAATTTCTCAACTTACGTCTCTATCAAAAAATATAAATTTAACTTCCGCAAAATCCGTTCTTAATATCTCCCATAAACTGCCAAATAGCTTAATTTCAGATCAAGTAATTTTTGAAATTACACTTTTAATCAGCAAGTTTTTCAGTCAGTAAGTAAATAAAACATTTCGCTTTTATATTTAAACTTTATTTATGCAAAACTGTAATAGACATTTGAACAAAATATATATTTTTTTAAATTTTGTAGGTACTATATTTGTCAATGCAAAGAAAATCATATATGTGTATATAAAAAACATCTATCTAGACATAAAGTAGCCTGGTTCTCATAATACATTCATATTTTACAAAAGAAATAACAATCAGTGTCAGCGCATAACAAGTGGCTTATAGTGGCTCCTCAAGCGAGAATGCAAATAAAGAAGGGTGTCATACATTTTGGTAATACTTTCAACTAAAAGAAAAAAAATAGTTTATGTCCATATTTTGACTTGGCTTTTTACTAACTTTTGTGTTATAATTTTTATTATTCATTCAATTATTTTATTTCGTAAAGGTTATAATATCAAAATATTATTTCCGAATGTCAAGAAGTCACTAAAATTGGAATCTTGACGATTTTTTACTTGTCCGCTACACGTGGAATGCAATATTATCAAACTCATACATATGTGTCTCGGTGGTGTAGTGGCTAGCTTGTACGGCTGCACACTCGGAGGTCCTGGGTTCGAGTCCCGGGTCGGGCCAAGTTTAGTTATTGAGTCTTTCTGTATAGTAAGTCTCAGTAACAGCCCGGAGTTGGGAAGTTGGCGGTGTTTAACCCCCGTGCCTGGGAGAGCACGTAAAGCCGTCGGTCCTGCGCCTTAACTCTCACCGGTCGTGTCTCGCGTCGTCCCACCGGAGTATGAGAGTGACAGGAATAGAGAGTGCACATTGTGTCTGCGCGTACACTTGTGCACTATAATATCTCCTGCGTAGTTGGCTAGTCTCAATGAGATTGGCCGCCGTGGCCGGAATCGGCTAGGAGAACATCATCACATAAATGTCTATATTTTACCTAATTAAAAATTAAGCTAATATTCTTAAATGATTAGTTCATTTTTACTCTTAGAAAAATGTTTTTTTTTTTAATTTCCTTGTTTAAAACTCGAAAGTAATGTGGCAATATAATTGTAAGCCGGTACCATATGTGGATTATTGCCAAAATTTCCATACTCAAACGAATTATGGTAACTATGTATATCTGAAATTGTAAAAATGTACACTAAATAGGTCGAAATAGCAATCTATACATATAATAAAATTCTAACTGAATCGAATCTGTACATTAAATATTTTTTGGAAAATCTTATTGAAAGGTTTTTATAATTCTTGCCTGTCTGTCTGGGAAAGCATCTCGAGAAAACCACAGGACAGATTTAGATGAAATTTGGTATGATGATAGGTAGCTGGTTATCCGGGTTATCAACATATATGACGGGATACTTTTAACTGTGGAAAAATTAACGTATTAAGTATAAATTAAATAACGGTTAGTATAGATTTCTCAGAGATAGTACATATATCTCTAAGAAATCTATAGTAACCGTTAAAAGTCAAAGTACATATAAAAAATAAAATGAGCTATCTATGAATACAATTTTTACTTGGATGTACAGCGCCATCTATTGCTATACATTTATTAAATTTAAATTAAAAGTAAAACACCGCCATCTATTTGTAAGTTCTGAACAATATTAAACAACGCCATCTGCCGGTGTACTTACGCATCGAGATGCACACTATCGCCATCTATGTACACTTTTTTTCTTTAATGTACACTCGTCAAGTGCAAGCGCGATTCTATTCGATGTGTAGAAAAGGTACAAGACGCACTCTGTCGCACCATACGCACTCAATGATTGAAATATATGAATTTAAAAATTCGTTGCGGTCTCTGAGACCGGTGGTAGGGTTAAAAATGTTATTAAAGAACTAGCGACTTAACCTCGCTTGGCTCGCGATGTACGCTAATTTTGCTTGTAATTTTATGTTTTTTTTTGTGTGGAATTATCTTGACGCTATTTCGTGTTTGCGACGATTTTCAATCTACAGACACAAAAAAATATTGTACTGTAAATGATAGAACACGCCATCTCTTGTTACTAATTGAGACACTGGCAAAATGTATTGCGTTTGTTAACATTTGTTTGTTGTTGAAAAAGAAAAATTATTTTGGTATTAATCGTTTTCGTTGCGCAAATATACCCAACGTGGCTTGTGTAAGAATACCGCAACACAATACTATTCAGAAAACAGCGTATAAATAAATATAAATGAAGATTTACCAAGCACATCTGATGTAGAAAAACTTGAAGTATGCAAAACATGTTTTAAATGTAACCAAAAAAAAAACGCAAGACGGCTAACTATTAAGTTATGTGCAAGGTACCAATTTGTTTAGAGTATGCGAAAAAAATATGTGACAACTGTCGCGAAAATTTGTGAATTTTTAGGCGTTGAAATTTTGTTCAAGTTTTTATTTTGTTTTTTTTTTTTTTTTTTATTTTATAGTTTGTTTCCTAAATTTATAAGAATTAATGCCAAAAAGTTGAAATATTAAGTTCCTATTCATATAGATCTCATTTTATAAGCTTAATGACTTTATGCTACTACTGTTATTTTGTAAAGATTTTAATAATATTCCTAGATGTTATTCTAGTTTATGTTATTTGAGGCTCTTAAATAAAGCTTTAAAGTGTTAATAACAGTTCAATTCGTTTTTATATTTAGGTAATATGGTAGATCCCGAATTTAAAGTAATAACCTATGAGCGGTCTACAGGACAGTACATAGGTAGTTAAAGGTTAGAAATAGATGGTAGGTGGTTAAGGGTTAAATAAAAACAAATAATCAGTCTATTTGTATATTTGCTAAAACGATTATGTAATATCTTACAATATTAAAATATCTAGTAAAACTTAATAACAAATTGTAATTGGGATCTTACAAAAATATTTTATTAATCCAAGAGTGGGTGATCGAGCGATGCACATCTTGTAATATTCACCGAGCTTTTGATATCATTTGCTTATAATAAGTCACCGAGCGGTCGCTAAATGTTTTTTTCTAATAGTTTATTTTCTTTATGATTAATTGCCGATACTCACATTTCTGATACTTCGTACTTCCAAATCCAAATTCGGCACAATCACAACACAACACTAAACACATCACTTATCATGACTCGACCTAGAATCAGGATCGGAGACATCCATCTCAAAGTCATCGAGCGGCAGCGGAGTGTCCAGATGGGCGAGTGTCACGCCCATGGCGGCGCGCAGCGCGGCGCGCGGCGCGAGAGCGCCGGGCGGCACGCGCGCCGCCATGCCGCGCAGCCAGGCGGCGGCCAGGCGCGCGGCCTCGCGCTCGGCGCCACCGGCGCGCGCGGCCTGCGCCAGGTGCGCGGGCGCGGCGGCCAGGCGCGCGCGCTGCTCGCGCTCCAGCTCGGCCAGCAGCGCGTGCGTGTGGCGCAGCGCCGCGCCCAGCCCGTAGTCGCGCGCCTCCTCCTCCAGCTCCGAGAGGAACTCCACGTCGATGCCCAGCTCTGACAGTGTCCGTAGTTGGGCGATATCGATCTTCACTTTGCTCAAATCCTGCGTTTTTGTTATATTGTTTTAGAATAATACTTACTATGCTTGCTAAATGTGAAAATATTTGACTATGTGACATTGGCTCAACTAGCACGCTTTGAAACCACTAACGAGAAAATTGGATTGAAAATGTTGTAAATATAATAAGTTATACATATTTTAACATACTAATACAAATATAAAATAATGTTATAAAAGTACAGAGTAATTTTCAAATTGAGCTCATATTATGACTTTCAGTCAAAAAACAAAAAAGATCATGTTTATACTAGCCTTAGAATATCCATACTCTTTATATTTGTACATATACCCATGTATTTTGTATATGTTAATGAATCTCGTTAATAGAGAGAATTGAAAGATTATATATTGAGTACATACATTCTCCTCTTTAGGTGGGGTCTGTTCCACTTGATTCTTTTTATCAGGAAAGAGCGCCTCCATGTCATAGATGTGCTGCCAGGGGGAGTCCGGCGCGAAGCGAAGCATCTCTTCATTGCCCTGACCCGTTTCTGATGCTGAATCAGAAATAATAAATCTCTTTAATATTAGGAATGCTTTCTTCTTGTTAAAGTAACCCCTAAAATAATAGTTTAAAACCTATATTTAATATTATAAATGTAAAAGTGTATTTGTTTGTTTGTTCTTCTTTTACATCAAAACAGTGATGAATTAGTATTAGTGACAATGGTCACTGATCAGATTTACACTTCCGCCTACTGAGACGGGAGTGGAAATCTTACATTACTTGACAGAAAACCCAATAACTACACTTGACCCGATCCGCGCCTCGAACCCCCAGTACCTGCAGCATTATGCGTCATCACTCGTCAAACTAAGGCGGTGGTAGCCCAGTGATAATAGCTCGGTTACTTAGAAAACCGAGTGAAGCTAGTTCAAATCCCAGGTCTCGCACCTCTGTTATTTCCATATGCGAATCATTTTTCAACATGATTACGACTTGTCTTATAGTGAGGTAAAACATCGTGAGGAAACCTGTCTGAGAGAATCTAGCTTTTCGAAAGACATGCTCAGTCCGACCGCACTTGGCCAGCGTGGTGGACTACGGCCTGATCCCTTCATATTGGAGGTCCGTGCCGAGCAGTGGAACGTTTAAAAAGACTGAATAATGCAAGTCAAACTTGGCAGTTCAAATAAACTCACGTAGAGTATGATATATCAGGTGGGATTCATCCTTAGTGAGTGTGGCGAATGTGCCGTCGTAGGCGGGCGCGTACGAGCTGAAGGGTCCGTAGTGCAGGGGCTTCACACATTTCGCCATGTTCCTACGGTCCTCTCGAGGCGCTGAAAATATCAATATAATATAAATAAATAATAAATATAAAAATAATGGGACATTAACACATAGCACCATCTAGTTCCATGATAAGCTACAAGGCTTGTGTTATGGATAGTAGATAGTTGATACACTACACATATATAACTTTAATATAAACACCTATGACTGGAGTACAAACATTCGTGTTCATCACACAAATGAATGCCTCCAGCGAGACTCGAACCCGCGACCGCTGGCACAGCAAGTGGGATCACTACAAACTGAGCCTAGCGTGTCGTCAATGTGAATCAATGTTCTTCATTGCACTTGAAATAAAAACAAATACTGCAAATATATAGTTAAAATAGATCTCTTCCAGTCAACCCTTTGTATGTGGGGAAATAGTTTAAAAAAACGGGACAGAGTGGAAAAATAATTGAAAAATATGTATATTTTTGTATAAAACCATTAGAAAATCAAAAATAAATAAAAATATGATTATAAACAATAATAAATTTAAAAAGAAATAATTTAACCCATACAAATAGACAAATATTATACTAAAAATAAAATAAACTATGTATGATTTAATTAAATAAGATTAAATGAACAGTTTTATTGTATAACAGCTGATTGACCAAATCTGAAACAGCAATTTAAATTTGATTTTATATAAAATGATTAAGTGTAATTTATTGTGAGATTGAATAAGATTGTCCACATATTATATCTTTTTAAAATTATATTTGTGAACTAGCGACTCATCCTCACTCCGATCGGGTTCGTCATTGTTACGTAGGTTTTAACGGTTAGTATAGATTTCTCAGAGATGAGATATTTTGCCGCAGTAAAAAGTATTCTATATGTGAACCCAGATAACCAGAATATCATCAAAATCTGTAGAGTCGCTCAGACAGACAGACATAAAATTCTAAAAACTATAGATCAGCCTCTACATTGATAATAATGACTGTTTCAATAAGATTTTTCAAAAAATATGTTATGTATAGATTTGACTCAGAATTTGCAGCATTTTAATTATATGTGTAGATAATAATTAAATACAATCTTAATAAAAATTAAATAATGACTTACTATGCAAAGTCCCCGTCCCTTGTGTTAATTTTCCAATATACTGTCCAAGGGTGAGAGGTTTCTCTTCACTGGTGCTATCTACTGTGTGAGTCACTAGGTTCAAGGTCGTTTTGCCTTCTGCATCCATTCGTGGGAAAGCTGAAAATTTTGTATTGAAGCATTAATTATTATTAACCTGAGTATATCTAAGAAAACCTAGCAAGTTTTCAGAAGACATGTGAAATCCACCAACCCACACTTGGTCAGCATGGTGGACTATGCCTAATTCCCCTCACATTGAAGGGAGGCCCGGATCCAGCAGTGGGACGTTTAAAAGGGCTGTATGTAGTCAGCCTATTCAGCACTAACTATTATTATAAAAGACAATTATTGGTTACTCCATCCTAGTCTATCTGTGTATGTGTGTAGTAGTAACAAACATACACATTACACATACATACTTTCATACTTATAACAGTCCATTGATGACACATTTGGCTCAGTTTATTGACCCTACTTGCTGTGCCAGCGGTTTCCTCGATAACTGTCTATCTCTAGCTAGTCTGATCCAAGTGCCACCTGTTATTAGTCCCGACATATTTATTTATTATTATTATTTTATTATTGACATTATAACTTATATCACCTTTTTTTGCCAAGCGTCGTCTGTGCTGTTCTCTCGCAGCTTCCATCTGTATCTTGACACTATCCCCACTATCCTGTCTGTCCTGGCCACCATCCGACACCACCTCAGCTTCAGAGCCACCACTCTTGATAGGACTACTTCTCTTTAGTACCTTGTGCTGACAAACAAACATATATACATTATCAGCCTCCATATTTTTTCTATACATTAAGTCATGCATCACTATTATAATATCAATTGTATAATGGACTGTTACACTCCACCATACAATAGCATGCAAAAGTCTGCACTATAATATAGGACGTTTTAAAACTAATAACAAAACAACATACATTAAAGTTGGTAAAGCGAAAAAACTAGGTCTATGGGCGAGAACAGACAAGCTATGAATGCCAATCGTTCTAGCATATTTTTTTAAGATTTATGTGTCAAAATGACATTAACGTAAAACAATGTCAAATACCTTTTTTTATTTATTGCATATTATGCAGACATTGCTGAATGATGAATTTTTACTTAAAAAAAGAAGTATAAGCGACAATTTTTAATTTATTCATAATATTGTAATTAGAGACTAAAAAATATTTTTTTAATATATTATACACATTCATCTGTTACTTAAGACCAACAATAAATAACATGTTATTAGCAGCTTGAAATAAATTGGAAGAGATTAGGTTTTCCTGGTGTCTATTATCGAAACTAACACGAAAACAATGGGGAAGAACTTTACCATTTTCTCCCTATATATCCCTAAAGCTCTATAGCGTGAATAGATTTCTTTTCATATTATTTAAAAAATTAAATAAATTAAAAAAAAACCATCCACGTTATAGAGCTTTACAATATACTAAGGATCATAGTGATCGCGACATCTGGCGGGAGAAATGGCAAAATTCTTCCCCATTTGTGATAGTCTATTCTATAGAGAATGTGATGTACCTATGCTAATTAATTTCAAGATGAAATCATTGGTCGATACTAATTCTTGGACTTGCCGGTAGGGAATCTGCTCACTGCCAATAACGTTAACTTCACATAAGAATATTTTTGTAAAATAAAATTCGTAAAGCTATTCACACACTTCACAATAGCTATTTCATGCTAAATTTGTTTTTGGTGTTTAGTCTGTGCTCACCCTAAGTGCTACTACGTAATATATTTATATTGCAAACCTTTCGACCGTAAGTCCTTAACGGCTGCATTGTAAAACATTCACTTTGTAATCAACTTACTAATTATTGAAGGTATCAACACAAATTGTGAACTCAAATTTTATTGGCTTTTCGTTTTAGTTACTATATTAGTTGCTTGAGAATATCGAGTTTTTTTGGCTTTTGTTTGCATTCCTTAAAATGTGTTTAATCTTTGCTCACAATTTGTGCCAATCACTATACATACTCTACTAAATAAGTATAGCAATGTCAATGATCTCTACCTGTCATCTGTCACTTGAATAGTACAGCTCACAAAAAAATGCCCTATTTAATAATCTACAAATTAATATAATACTTTCTTAGATTTACGCGACAAATATTTGTCATTTTAAAAAATAAAACTATCTTTTCAGATTTTAATGTGGATTTATTTTGATTTTGCTGTAAATCAATTAACGTAGAAACATGAAACATCGAAACATGAAACGTTGAAAACTAAACATCAAAATAAATCCGTGAAAAAAACCTGTCTTTATAAACTTCTGTACGCACGTAAGAAGTTATACTTCTATGGTGTAACAGAACAAAAATAGCTAAAGATTTCATCTCGTAAGTCACAACTCTCTGTTTGTAAAAGGAATGCAGCTAACTTCATCATGTCGCTTTTTGGCTGTGCGCGCGCATCGTAAGCTTACCAAACGTTTTTTCCAAACGTCCCAAATGAAGTATAACTTCAAAAAATCCGAAAAGTTACGTTTTATTTAAAAACAATATTAGTTTTTGTATGAACACTGTATACCCGTATTTAAATATTGCAGTTTTTTTTTGTGTAAAGTATTATTTTTAGCTAATGTTACTTTCAAGTGACAGTTTAAGATCATTGATGTTCCGATTCTCATTTATGTAGCATAATATATTACGGATAATATTTGAAGCTCATTCATATAAGTTAGTAAGTAAGTAAGTTAATAAGTGATAGGGAATTGGTGCTATTGTAAAATGGCACAAATATTTAAAAATACATGTTAAATAAATGCACAGATAACTATGATGAATTTAATTTTATAAGGTATTTATTTAAAAAAAATGAATATAATATTGCTTACAATCTTCTTTTGTTAGAATTTTAAAATTTTTTCTGTCATAAATGTACATAATATATTAATATAAAAAATGCACATGTTTTATTTTATCTTTAGTAATTTTACAGCTAGGTAAATAAACTGTTGAAGTGGTTATTTATTTAAAATTATTGAAAAATATTCAACTATTAGGAAGTAATTGAATTCTTGAAATTATGCTCTGTATTGGCATACTTAAATTTTTGTTATAAAAAAAACTGTGCCATATGATATGATTTATAAAATCCTAAAAAAATAATATTTCCACTCACTATACTATAAACAAAATTAAAATAATAAGACTCACCACATCCATTTTTCCAATGTCAAAACCAAGCTCTCTTATAGGTATTTCATACATATATGTCAATATATCTCCGAGTGGTCTTAGTTTTTGGGGGGTTAGTTGTTTTAAGCCCGCATGTAAGAGACGCTTGGCAGCTTTATGATACACAGTACCAGGTTTGTTGTATTTCATAGCATTATTGCACATGAGTTTGAAATCACTCTACAAGTATTGGAAAAATTGATTATATTACTAAAAAAATATATATAATAATAATACTTTATTTTCTCAAAAAAAATATATAATAAGTGGGTTTGACTCTTGTGTCAATAATATTAAAATTTATTAAAACAAGCATTGGTGATCTTATTGAGAGTGAATCTAATTCACTTCATTAAAAAGTGTGTCAGCTAAGTTTAAGAGTATGTCACACTGCAGAGTACTGCTGTATATATCTATTATAAAAAACACTTTCTTATTTGATATTATTTAATTTTATATTAAGAAAATATTTTATAATACTTAAAAAACTAAGTACCTAAATACTTACAATGAAACAATTAAGAGATTTATATTCATTGTCATCAATTTTTTGCTTCATAGTGGAGAAATCCATAGGTCTTTTAATAATAGTAGAATAACCCGGTGCAAAATTATCATTAACAGGCCAAGCAAAGAATTGGTTTGGATCTCTTTTTTCTAAGTTTCTTAAGAGTTGCTCCAAGAGACGAGATAATGGCCGACGTTTTTGACTTGCCTGTGAACAAATTCAGAATTAAATATTTAAATGGTCCAAACAATTTCAATCCTGGTTTAATGTTAGTTTTTTATTAACAGAAATAAAGGAAGAGTTGAAGCTTGGCCACTGGCTTAGTAAAGTTTGGAAAGTGAGTAACACTACAATTAGTAATTTATTAATATTTAATGAATAAAGGTTCAAAAAATAAAATATTACTTTTAGTACACAAGTGCGAGGTTCACGATGAGAAGCTGGTGAAATAGGACCGGGACCTGGACTATGACGCCGGTACATCTTTTTGGGTCCACCTTCATCTTCAGTTTCATCATCCTCTGATTTAATCTATAAATTAAGAATTTATTTGGTTTAACTACTTTTTATATTTAATAAATCTAAAAGTAATATAATATAGAGTTAGTGATAGTATACAGTATATAGTATAATGCATAAAATTTTATAATTACTAATCGGAGTAATAGTAATGTTAAAATTTTATGCAAGTACCCTAGTAGTGAAATAAAAAGCAAAAGCAAAGCAATAACCAGATATTTTTAAATAATTGTACGATTCTTAAAGTCTCTTACAAAAACTAATTCAATTTCCCGGCGTCTTCTCCTTTTTTTCTTTACTTTGCCTTCAGTTATCTTTGGGTCATCAGTGGATAAGTCCGCTACTGTCGAATGTTCAGCATCGCTAATTTCACAGATTTCTTCTTCTGAAATACAAATCAAATTAAAATAAGTCTTATTTCTGGTTCATGTTGTACGTAAACGTTGTACTTAATATCAATCTTACTGCAACTCAATTTTTCCACATCATCCATATTTAATATTTAAAAGAACTAATAAAGATTATAGCTCAAAATGTAATATAATATAACTAGTATTTTGTACATAAAATTATAATCTGAATAAACTGCCGAGAGCTATCGCATTTAAAATTTAACTTTATAAAATAAAAAGGAATGCGAAGCTATAATTATTGACGTTTGCAACTTGACACAAAATACGTTCCATTTTATGGAATTTTGTAAAAAAAATTAATATCCATGATTTCAATTGTTTGTTCAATTTAAAATTTCTTTTTGTTATAAATATGATAATATAGTAGTAATAAAAATAAAATTGGATTAATAATTGACAAAAAAAATAATAATAATTACACATGTTAAAATTGCTATGTAAAAACTGAAAAATATGTATAACTAGTGAATTTTTTAATTGGCAATTTCAATACATAACATTTTGTAATTTATTGTTTACTAATTACTACGTCAAAGAGTATAGTTATAAACTGTACTACGTTTTAACGGTTACTACTTAGTACTTACCATGGATGGTACTTACTAATTACTTAGTAGATTTCTCAGAGATGAGAGATTTTCCCGCGGTAAAAATAACTTTTTTCGATTTTCGGCTTACTGTAACATTCTATCGAAAAATATTCTTTACAACAGTTGTAGATTTAGTAAACATCTACGACTTTTATAGATGACACTTTTTACAATATCCTCAAAGTTTTTTATTTGTTCTTAGTTTTTTATTTTTTATTTCAGCAATATTTTTTGATTGTGTAAATAGTATATTAATATGTAAAACCTAAAAATTTGGTTTTTGGTCATCTGAACGCGGGCGGAGCTGCGGGCAATGCTAGTACTATATATAATATACTATTCTATTGTTTTAGTCGCAAGTTTTTTATAGACTTTTATAGATAATTAATATGAAATTAGCAAACATTACAGGATCCAGACATGACGTGTAAAGTAATAAATATGTAGTTACAAAATATAACATAGTAAAGTAATAAATAGAAAATAAAACTAATTAATATTTTTTTAATTTAATATTTGTTTTTATTCGACAGGAAATGTGCATTTTGATTTAGATATTTATTAGTTTAATCGCAGGATTTGCTTATTTAGCGCCGGAATACGTGTCTAAACGAAGAGTTATTACTTATTGCCTAATTAGGTTTTTAAATCAACGTTAGTGCGATTTTGTTTACGAGTCAATAGTTTCTCTATTCGACATCTTAATTATTGTAGAAATTTAAGATTATTTACATTTTAATAGGGAATATGCTTTTTTTTATTTATTATGCAATTGCTAACATCGTTACATAACTGTAAAAAAATATCCAACCCCATAAAACTAAAATTAAGTATATTTTTTTTAATTATCATCTACCTATCGATACGGATCGCGGGTGACGTCAAAGTATTATTATACATAGAAAAATGACGACTAGTTTGTAGCGACAATATCATCATATTTATTTAAATCACACGCATATTCCCTATTGAATATTATTGTATCGTTAGATAAAAAAAAGCGTCAAAGGAAAGGTTTCACATTACACTACGACGCGTCATCGAGTAGGATAGGTTGCCTATGGGGTAACTTTTAAACTAGGTTGTTTTCCTAACCATCTACTATAATCTGCTATTCGTTATTCAGTCCACACTATTCTTTAAAGAAGTTGTAGCAAGCTACATGGTGTCCTTCCCAGAAGATGGCCGCCTTCCAGTGAATAAATAATGAATAATTAGGTTAATTGAAGCCTTCTTGCAGATTTTTGCTTCACGCCCGGATAAATTATCGACTAGGAAGGTACTATTCAAACAAACGACATAACTGTAGCAAGATAAGTTTTAAATTAAAAGGGACTAAAATATTTAACGGAAACCTATTAATATATCGATATTTAAAATAGCCTATATATCTCTCTGGTCCATGAATAAAAATGAAAAAGATATTACTAAAAAATTATGAACTATTGCTGACTACAGAAAAACAGTGATTTTTATTTTTTACGTTAGTAAAACTATGGGATCTCTGGTCCTATAACTCATCAATAGATGACGTTACATGTATCGATTTTTAATTTAAAGTTGTGCTAAATTAACAAAGAATAAAAAAAATGATCCCAAAATTGTATAATAGGGTTTAAAAAAATACTCTAAGTAAAGGGAAATAAAATAATGTATTCGTACATCAAAATTGCATAATTTTACTGATTAAAATTGAAAAATGAGCAATCAGATCATGGGTTTGTAGTGCAGGCTAACAGATGGCGCTTTTACTTTTTGTAAGTGGTTTATCACTGTTAAAATGATTGAAATTTGTTTACTCGAATGCAGGATGAATTTAACAATATTTATCATTATTTTAGTTTGCACATATTTATAAAATAAAACAGTTCAATTATTTGCGGATCAACGACATCTATTATCTGTTCAAGCAAACAAAAATAGCTCGAAGAATAGCCGAATAGCCGAAAGCGCTGTCCAATGGGGAAGATTTCTCGAAAGGAGGGCGCCACACGTATGGCCTATTTACATTCAGTCTAAGGTTAAGCAATTAATTTAATGATATCTCTTTTGTACCTGGTTTTTTGCTTATATTGTGTTCGCATCTTACTTGTGCAATGTATTGTACCTGGAAGTTAGACCAGCTGAAGGGAGAATTAAGAAGGAGAGGTGCATCCTGCGGTGATCCTGACTGATTAATCAACACACAGTATAAACCGCTGGTCGTATAAACGTGAAATTTGAAGAACGTATTCCTTATATGAAATAGGCAGCCGATTAAAAAGAAGTTTTTCGAAATTCATCCCCTAAGTGGGTAACATAGGAAATTAAAAATAGTATGAAACTCTGTCATTCTTAATGTGAAATATACAGAAAATTGTGTTTAGTTTTAAGATAAAAAAATAAGAAATATATTTATTTCATTTTTTTCGAAACTCATCCCTTAAAGGGGTAAAGGGGAATAATAAAGTTTATATTGGCAAAGAATTATTTATTATCAGATTCACTTGAAACTTGGTATTCATGCTCTTCAATATAATTAAATAAATGTGTTTTAGAATTTTGCCAAATTCAATCCCATAAATAGGTAAAATGGGGGATGAAAGTTTGTATGAAACTCTGTTAATGTTAACTTAATTCTGTTTGTATTAACATGTAAAAAAGTACAAAGAGCAAAAAATCATCTGTGGTCGATTTAAGAGTTTTAAAATACCTTTCTTTAAAATGATGTGCACATAGCCTTAAATATGAAGATTGTGATTTCGCCAATTTTGGTCGTCTTATTGCTTTAGTTTACAATTCCTTAAGTTTTTATTTTTTGGGAACAAATCATATCCATTTTCTTTGCATCTTGGCATTGATCAATTTGTCATTTTAATTAAATTTTAAATAAAATGAAAAAAAATCCATCCATGCTACACAGCTTTACAATACCTATATTGAGGACTATAGTGATCACGATATTTGGAGGGAGAAAAGGCATAACTTCCCATTTCTTTGTATGGGATGAGGCATCTCTACTAGTATAATAGTAGTGACTGTGGTAAAATTAACAAGGGATAAATATAATCCATATTGTATGTAAGCCAAACTGCCTAACATACAAAATTACCTAAAATATATATAAAAAATATTAAATCCTTAATACTAAAGATAGGAAACTTGTCCGTAGTACCTATTTGATATTTCTCGGATCACGCATTTATGAAAGCGACTCTAACACCGCGTTCGCATATCGTTCAGTTACACTATTACAGCATCTTCCGTGTGATTCGCTAATTAAACCAGCCAGGGCGGCTAATGGAATATCAAACCTAATAAATCTCGGCACGACACGTTTACACGTATTTCATACGATTATTTTGTATGTATAATAAAATTGAAATATTTCTTTTTGGGATTTCGCACATCTGTAAACAACGCAATATTTATTTGTACAGACCAAAGTTTCTACCGGTATATCGCATATTCCAACTCGCGATCGCGAAAGTAACTATTTTTTTTATTTCCGTAAATATGAAAAAAAAAAGTTTATTTTTTTTATAAATGACGCAAAAGACCTAAGTTTCATGTATATTTGAGAGTCCTTCTTACCTTACCTTTACAAAAAAAAAACAGATAATATGTATTCACTGCATCCTGGGATAAACACGAAATACCTATAGCTCTATGTTTTAGATCAATACATACTAGCATACTTTAGAAAAATCAAGAAAATAGAATAAAAAACCTCATAATATGAAGATCAGCTGCGAGCCCGACTCGTACTTAACCAATTCTTAACAGTAATTAATGTACAATGTAGCTAAGAGCAATCATCATATTATGAATTACAAAATCCAATTAAAACGCAGATATTATGATATTGACTTGCTAAAGAGATAATGCTGCTGAAAAAGGAATGCCAATACACTTTCGATTTCCAATTTATCTATTATTCATTTTATAGTAAGTTATAGGTTCGATTCTAGCTTAAGACAGATTAAAAGAAGTTTGTTATCTAATAAACTATCTAGATTCACTATAGAAATAGGTACATAAAGTGTAAACAAAACAGGTAAGTATCTACTACAGGCGTTCATATACATATAATATGACTATGTTCGTCCAGTGGTCGAAATTCGACCATAATCATTATTGTTTTTTTATTAACTAGCGCCTTACCCTCGGTTGCGACCATATAAGTTACGTTTTAATATATTTTTTGAGCGAAACCAATTTTTTTTTGTAAAATAAAAATACCCTAAGTCCCTCTTTATAATATCAGATATTTGACAGTGAAAGTCCCGTTAATCAGTCTAGCCGTTTCGGAGATTAGCCGAAACAAACAGACAGACAGATAAAAATGTTAAAAATTGAGTTTTCCTTATATTTCCTTACATTACAAGTTCCGTATATAACTTCATATGCAATAAAAATCGGTTGACAAGCAGAGGAGAAAAAGGTACTATTCTGTTTGTCTTTGCCTATTTATACACATAATATAATTATCATTAGTTATTAGTTCAAAC